GTCGACGAGGTCTTGCTCAAAACTATTAGATAGGTCCTACATGCATTCAAATTATCAAATGAGAGGGACTTTAGCGCGATGAACTTTTGGGAGAACAGGACTGATATAAGCTCACTAAATCGTATTCTTCTCTCTTTGTATCACAAATATAAAAGCTTCAGTCATCCTTCATTTTCTCAAGAGAGTGAAATCATGGCTCTTCATCAACATGGGGATGGATTATTTAGATCTGTGCTGTTTTCGATATTAAAATTGGGGAGCATCCGTATGATTAGGAAGGGCTTGCTGAAAATACAAATTTATTTTACCCAGTTGGGTAACAAAACTTACAGCAATGGAATACACAAAGCTGCATTGATTTTGTAGCAATTCAATATGATAATTGTATGCGATTCTTTTTTTAGGAACGCCTTGCACAAGCACTCCAACATACAGTAGCAGAAGAATTGATGTCAGCTATCGCGATATAGGTTCGTGTTACACTGCAACACTTCGTCCTACCATCTCTGGGAATACATTTGTTTTGAAATTCTTATCCATTTCTTTTTTATTAAGCTTCATCTTACAAAATTCCGTTCATGGCCTTCGTTCTGCAAGAGAATTTCCTTGTCAAAATTTACATCTGTTTCTTTTTTTGCTGATTACAAGTTGATGAACCTTAATGTACTCTCTATACATGCTGCTTATCTGCTTCTAGACGGCGACGCTGTTGGAGAGACTAATGACAGATTCAATCGCTCAGGTGGCTATCCCGACAAAAGTTTGTTTAATAGAGTTCGATATCTTTTTTTAAGAAAAGCAAAACAATTTAGGTCACGATGGATCTCGTGACTATCGGGGCCGAAGTGGACGTGGTGGTTTTCGTGGCAGAGGTGATAGAGGTGGATTTGGACGTGGACGTGGACGTGGACGCGGGCGAGGTGGAGGACGACATGATGGTGATTTTTGAATTTATAACTGAGCCTAAAATCTCTTTGTTCCATACTTCAGCAACTTTGGCTAAAGCGATTGATGTGGGTTGCAGCCACATAATGGGGCATCCGTTTGTCGCTACATTACGATATTTAATTTAGAATATTGTAAAAATGCTTTCTACATAAGGTATGGGTGCTTCCCGAGAAGCGAAAAAATAGAGTTGTTTAACTGGGCCTACCAAGTGAGGTTTGGTTTCGGACTGCACTAGCGAAAAGGACGAAATAAGCTTTTACTTCCCATCATTTGGAAGTTTTACTAATTGACAAAATTTTATAATATTCAGCGCACAGCCTAAACTGTTCCTCTAGGCATGGCTCACGGGTGCTGAATTGCCTGCAGTAGCGCGATCTTGCGCTACTGCGGACGATTCAGCACTTATGCGGTTCATGGCGAGCAAGTTTAACCGACCTAACATTGCGAGATGTATGTCGATTGACGCGCTTTTCGGTTTCAGTAAGGGTACATCCCACTGGGCTCTATG